TGGGATACGCGCAGACAAATTGTTGTTGGACAAGTTCAAATGACTCAAAAAGGTCAACTTTGATAAGCTCTCTGGAATTGTTCCAAACAAATAGTTGTTGGAAAGATCAAGTGATTCGAGAGACACCATATCTCCAATGTTTAATGGGATTTGTCCTCTTAGATGATTATGAGACAAACTAAGACCGATCAAGTCAGTGAGGTTCTCAGCTCCAATGGGATTTCTCCAACTAGTTGTTTACTTGAAAGATCAAAATTAACCAAGAATCGTGTATTTTCATTATACTCTAGCACCACTCCCTTCAAGACTTCACTTAATGCATTGAGCCCATAGTATCTTTCAATTGCTACAAGACAAACATTTTTTGTATATATATTTTCCTTTGTGCAAACAACGTCTACAATAGTGTTTACATAACTATTCCTGTAATAAAATTGCGACAAACAAATTGGATTATTGATCGATCACTGCTAAATTTACTATTTATCACACTCACGATCAAGTCACATTTAGCTTCCTTTTATTGAAAAAAAAAATCTTGTTTTTGGCTTATACTTGATGAAAATACCCCCACCCCACAAGACTAACTTAAAAAAAAAACATAATTTATCAAAATAAATAATTTTAAAAATTCATTTCCTCCAACTAACTTTCAGATTATCAGTAACGAACTAAGAAATATTGAATACACCAATAATATCATGAAAGTGTTATATGAATGAATGCTCACCGCAAGTGGTTTTATTGTGGCCCATTCCCGAAAAATTGCCAAAGCAACGTGAGATGTTTCAAGTCAACTAGTTGTTTGCGAGGTCCATTATTTGAAGTTTAGACATCTGACAGAAAGAGGAGGGAATGTCTCCGTAGAATTTGTTGTTCCTTAGCCTAAGTATTGCCAGATTAAGTAGATTGTTTCCAATCCAAACTTTCTCTGATAACTTGTTGTCTCCAATATCCAAACCCATTAACTGGGTGCAATTCTTCAAATTTGGGGGGAGTTTCCCTATAAAACTATTGTTACTCAGTTGCAACCATCCCAACGAGTAAGTACCACCAATGGAGTTTTGAATGAGCCCCGAAAGCTTATTAGATGACAATGTTGCAACCTTTAAGTAAGATAAGATAAACCAACATTGTGGAAGGTGACCTGAAAAAAGATTCTTGAAGAGACGCAGATAAAACAAATATCTCATTTGGCATAAGAAATCGGGTATCGAACAAGTTATCGCGTTATTTGATAGATCTAAAACTTGGATTCTAAAAGGAAGACTTGGAATAGATCCATCAATATGGTTGTTGGATAGGTCTAAATCAGTCAGATTTGTTAAGGAATGGAGCCATCTCTGCAGCATGCCTCAAATGCTATAATTAGATACATACAAATAGTGTTGTGATTTTTATGTTTGAAGCCACTGTGGAAATTGGCCTTTGATATCAATGGATGATGATATATAAAGGGATTTTAGTTGAAAAGGAGGGGTCCAATCATACAAATAAGAAAAATGTATAAAGTGTATGTCAACTAACAACTATTACCAACATTAATTATGTGAATAAAGGAGAAATAAATGACTTATATTTTAAAATATTATTCAGTTATTGCATGAAAGAAACACCATAATTAATGTAACACATAACATATATTTTCAATGAATATGAAAATGAGGTAATTACATGATATTTTATCAAACAATGAAAAAAATCATAAACTTTTTAATCTTATAACCAGTACAAAAGTACATTTTTGTCAAATATATTATTATCATAACTAAATAAAGAAGTAATATTAAATAGTATTTATCTTACTTGATTATATTAGTTGTAGTCTAATAGATAAGATATTTGATTGCAACAACATTATATAAAGTATGTACAAAAAAAAAGGACGCAACACATATAAATGTGATCTATTTCTTTTAATAAATGAATATTATATGTGAATAGAATAAGAACAAATACACGATAGTAATTCAATAAGAAAAATAAAAGTACGTATTTTCTTAGAGAAATACGAATACTACTATCTAGAAACATAAGTCTTTTAAAATTACTACGCTTTCTTTTTTTGCTAACGTCTAAATATGTGAACTGTGTAAGGAATTAGGTCTAAGATGGTCAATGATTTGCAAACAATAGGTCATATAGTTCGTGTGCCTTCCAAATAAATAACCTTGAAAAGAATCATTCAGGGCATGATAAAATTTCTTCCAGAGAAGTCGATGATTAAATACCTTATAAGATCATACAATCATGAAGTTTGACTATATGTTTGGCCAGAATATTTATAAGTGATTGAATAATGTAGACAGTTTTGTCAAATGAATTAAGAAGAATTTTGGAACACTATTGATGTACTGGGCTCCAACGAGTATGAATGTTTTTTATGAAAACGTCAAAACCAAAATGAAAAAAATCACTCTTTAATAATCTAAAATAATTAAATGAAATAACTAATGCATCTATAATATTCATTAGGTCCTTATTTAGTTACTAGTACAGAGCCCGTGCGATGCACGGGGTGCACAATTTTAAGGTCATTTATCCATTCTTATAATTATATAAATGAATAAAAAAAATATACGGGATATATAAAGTACGTGACTTGTAATAAGCCAAAATGTGAACATGGGTGGTGCACGAGGTGCACAATTTTAAGGTCATTTATTAGTGCATACCCCGTGTGATACATGTGATACATATAATAAATCAATTATTTCTATAGGACTTGTACGTCTAGACAAAAAAAAAAAAACAATAGGCTTGGATCATTCATATATTTCACATCTTTTAATAAGTGGCGTTTATTTAAAGCCAAAAAATTAACATGTTAATAAATATAATTCCGCTAACACGTCATATTAATATTTATTTGATTTTAGAATACATATTTATTCATTGATATAAGAAAAATGAAAATTTTATTAATTATTGTTCACCATATAATACTCAATTATTATTTTATTATAAAATTTACAGTCATATAATGTAATTATTATTATTTATAAAAGTTATAGAAGTAGTATTCTTTATGTAATGAAATTAAAAATAAAATTTTGAGTATAAATGTTTACAAAATACACACACATGTTTTTTAGAATTCAATTTTCTCATAATAATTCATTTTTTTTATTAAAAATGATTTAGCAATTGCCAAAAAATAAATCCCTTACATAATCAAGAGATTTTTTCTAATTTTCATCCTAAGGCTTTATAGTTTATTTAACATACTATCCAATAGAAAAATATTTTACAATAAGTTCATTTTTGAAACATAACAAAAAAAAGTGATAAAAACACTATCATAGTTGACAATAATATACAAATAAATAACATGTCGAAATTTTAAAGAATAACTATAATTTTATTATCTAACCATCAATAAAATAATTTAATAATGTGATCATTATCTTTTAAATAATAAATAATATTAATTTATTAAAAAAATTAGTGTTATATAATTAAATAAAGGTTTAAAAATATTACTCGACAAATATTAATTATAATGGATATCAGTAAAATCATTGCATAAATTATTTAAGGAAAAAATCTTGAAGATCATATTTGGATAGTAAATGTAAATATGCAAGCATTTAATGCATATAGTAAAAAATTTCCAAATAAAGTATGCATAAAATGTGTGTTGACTTTTCTTGCTACTGTTTTTAGTAAATAGGTTGGCTTTTAATATATATATATAGATAGATTTAGTATTTTTTTTTTTCCATTAGAGACTATATTTTTGTTGGAGTTGTAATATGTTATTTCATTCTTTTTATATTAGGACATCCCCCTACATATTAATCCAGAACGCGCTGAGCCTACGTAGCTGCTTCTGGTGCTTCAGAATCCTATGTGGCAAAGTTACATGTTTCGTTATTAGGCTTGGATGAATTTTAATTTAATTCCAAACCAAAAATAATTAGGTTCGGATTACCATAAATATGTTGATTTTTTATGGTCATGTTACATGTATTAATTTTATTTTAATATCATTCCTTATTATAACTATTGAATTTTATATATATTCTAAAAAGTTAATAACTTTTGTATTTTTCATCAGTTTTACATATATAATATATCAAATTAATCTTCTTTTGATGAGATTCGATTTAACATCCATATTGTATGTATAAACAAAATAATTTGTACTTATCTTTAAAACAATAATAAAATTATTTTTAATATTAATTAGAAAACTAAAATAATTTATCAACTAATATATTTATATTTCAAGTAGTTATATGATATGAGTAATATATTTATCAAGTAGAAAAAATATAATTATTTATCAACTAGCACATATCATTCTAAAATATGTATAATATATTTTTTTTGTAAACAAGTAAATTAAATTTAATATAGTTTTGTTATTAATTTTAAAATTTTAGAATAATTTTTTAAGAAGCACCCGTGTAATACACGGGTGTTGTACTAGTCGTTATGTTATTTAAAAAAAACATTAGAAGCTCATTTATTCTATATTTTACTTCATTCCTGCAATGATATTTTTAATAAATTAATTAATTTATTTTAGTGAATTCAATCGGCAAAAAATATTTATCACCAAGTGCGATGCACGTGCACTTTACTAGTGACTTTAAAATGTTACGGTTATTAAAAATTATGTTTCAACTTTGAAAATATTTTGGTAGTCTTATTATGCAAAGCACGATTGTCTATTAAATAAAAATAGTAATGAAAAAAGGAACAAATTATATAAATATATAAATGCATAATTTAAAAGCTAAGGAACACTATATTATGCATGACGTGCATCACTCGTACACTTTAGAAGTTATAAAATAATGAACTTTTAAAAAAATCCACATCAAACTTATAACCCTTAAAGCAATACACATAACACCAACATCAAACACACCACAAATATCACATCAAACACCAGAATACAACTTAAAAATACTACAACCACAGCTTGAAAATGGACAATTCAATATGATACAAAGTTGCAAAATCCACTTATAAACTCAAGCTATAGCAGTCTAACTTCGCCCCATCATTTTTTTCAACAGAGCATCTGTCCACCCGAACGGAGTCTGCCGCCAACTCTTTTTGAAGATCAAAACTCCAAAGTAACCCCATAATCCAGTGGCAAAACCACCAACTACAAATTCATAGAGGTATAACTTATCGACTGCATTTCCATCATCACCATGCTCCCCACCATTTTTACCTTTCGGCGATGTTCTATTAACTTCGCATTGTTGGGCCAATGGAGCCTCATATAGTCCAGGGTTTTCCTCATAATCCGAACTTCCGTTGAGTGTTTGAAGTTGAGGTCCCTTCGGGATACGCCCAGACAAATTGTTGCTGGACAAGTTCAAATGACTCAAAAAGGTCAACTTTGATAAGCTCTATGGAATTGTTCCAAACAAATAGTTGTTGGAAAGATCAAGTGTTTCGAGAGACACCATATCTCCAATATTTAATGGGATTTGTCCTCTTAGATGATTATGCAACAAATTGTGACCAATCAAGTCAGTGAGGTTTGTCAGCTCCAAAGGGATTTTTCCAACTAGTTGATTACTTGTAAGATCAAAATTGACCAAGAATCGTGTATTTCTTCTACACTCTAGCACCACTTCCTTCAAGACTTCACTTAATGCATTGAGCCCATAGTATCTTTCAATTGCTACAAGACGGACATTTTTTGTATATATATTTTCCTTTGTGCAAACAACGTCTATACTAGTGTTTACATAACTACTCTTATAATAAAATTGCTACAAACAAATTGAATCATTGATCAATCACTGCTAAATTTAAGATTTATCACCCTCACGATCAAGTCAAAGTTAGCTTCCTTTTATTGCAAAAAAAATCTTGTTTTTTGCTTAAACTTGAGGAAAATACCCCCCACCCCACAAGACTAACTTTTTTTTTTTTAAAAAAAAACATAATTTAGTGATCAAAATAAAAAATTTACAAAATTCATTTCCTCCAACAAACTTTTAGATTATCACTAACGAACTAAGATATATTGAATACACCAATAATATCATGACAGTGTTATATGAATGAATGCTCACCGCGAGTGGTTTTATTGTCGACCATTCCCGAAAAATTGCCAAAGCAACGTGAGATGTTTCCAGTCAACCGGTTCTTTGCGAGGTCCATTATTTGAATTTTGGACATCTGACAGAAAGACGATGGAATGTCTCCGTAGAATTTGTTGTTCCTTAGCCTAAGAATTGCCAGATTAAGTAGATTGTTTCCAATCCATTCCGGAACTTTCTCTGATAACTTGTTGTCTTCAATATCCAAACCCATTAACTGGTGCAATTCTTCAAATTTGCGGGGTGTTTTCCTATAAAACTGTTGTTACTTAGTTGCAACCATCCCAACGAGTAAGCTCCACCAATGGAGTTTGGAATGGGCCCGGAAAGCTTATTAGATGACAATGTTGCAACCTTAAGTAAGATAAGTTAGCCCAACATTATGGAGGTGACCTGACAAAAGATTCTTGGAGAGACGCAGATAAAACAAATCTGTCATTTGGCATAAGGAATCGGATAATGAACCAGTTATCGCGTTATTCAATGGATATAAAACTTGGATTCTGAAAGGAAGATTTGGAATAGATCCATCAATATGGTTGTTGGGTATGTCTAATTCAGTCAGATTTGTTAAGGAATGGAGCCATCTCGGTAGCATGCCTCAAATGCTAGAATTAGATAGATACAAATAGTGTAGTGATTTTTGTGTTTGAAGCCACTGTGGAAATTGGCCTCTGATATCTGGATGATGACATATAAAGGGATTTTAGTTGAAAAGGAGGGCTCCGATCATACATATAAGGAAAACGTACAAGGTGTATGTAAACTTACAACTATTACCAACATTAACTATGTGAATTAAAAGGAGAAATAAATGAGTTATAATTTAAACAATTATTCAGTTATTGCATGAAAGAAACACCATAATTATTGTAACATATAACATATAATTTCAATGAATATGAAAATGAGGAAATTACATAATAATTTATCAAACAATGAAAAAAATCATAAACTTTTTAATCTTATAACCAGTACAAAAGTACATTTTTGTCAAATATATTGTTATTATAACTAAATAAAGAACTAATATTAAATAGTATTTATCTTACTTGATTATATTAGTTGTAGTCTAATAAATAAGATATTTGATTGCAACAACATTATTTAAAGTATGTACAAAAAAAAAAAATGACGCAATACATATAAATGTGATCTAGTTCTTTTAATAAATAAATATTATTTGTGAATAGAATAAGAACAAATACACGATAGTAATTCAATAGGAAAAATAAAAGTACGTATTTTCTTAGAGAAATATAAGTACAACTATCTAGAAACAAAAGTTTTTTAAAATTACTACGCTTTCTTTTTTGCTAACGCCTAAATATATGAACTGTGTATGGAATTAGGTCTAAGATGGTCAACGATTTGCAAACAATAGGTTATATAATTCGTTTGCCTTCCAAATAAATAACCTTGAAAAAAAATCATTCAGGGCATGATAAAATTTATTTCAGAGAAGTCGGTGATTAAATACCTTATAAGATCATACAATCATGAAGTTTGACTAAATGTTTGGCCAGAATATTCATAAGTGATTGAATAATATAGAAGTTTTGTCAAATGAATTAAGAAGAATTTTGCAACACTATTGATATACTAGGCTCCAACGAGTATGAATGTTTCTTATGAAAACGTCAAAACCAAAATGAAAAATCACTCTTTAATAATATAAAATAATTAAATGAAATTACTAATGCATCTATAATATTCACTAGGTCCTTATTTAGTTATTTAGTATTTTTTCCATTAGAGACTATATTTTTGTTGGAGTTGTAATATGTTATTTAATTCTTTTTATATTAAGAAATCATTATGTTATTTAAAAAAAATGTTAGAAGCTCATTTATTCTATATTTTACTTCATTCTTGCAATGGTATGTTCAATAAATTAATTAATTTATTTTACTGAATTCAATCGGCAAAAAACATTTATCACCACGTGCGATGCACGTGCACTTTACGAGTGACTTTAAAATGTTACGGTTATTAAAAATTATGTTTCAACTTTGGAAACATTTTTTAGTCTTATTATGCAAAGCACAATTGTCTATTAAATAAAAATAGAAATGAAAAAAATGAATAAATTATATAAATATATAAATGCATAATTTAAAAGCTAAAGAACTCTATATTATGCATGACGTGCATCACACGTACACTTTAGAAGTTATACAAAAATGAACTTTATAAAAAAATCCACATCAAACTTATGACCCTTAAAGCAATACATATAACACCAACATCAAACACACCACAAAGATCACATCAAACACAAGCATACAACTTAAAAAATACTATAACCACACCTTGAAAAGGGACAATTCAATATGATACAAAGTTGCAAAATCCCCTTGTAAACTCAAGCTATAGCAGTCTAACTTCGCCCCATCATTTTTTTCAGCAGAGCATCCATCCACCCGAACAGAGTCTGACGCCAACTCTTTTTGAAGATCAAAACTCCAAAGTAACCCCATAATCCAGTGACAAAACCACCAACTACAAATTCATAGAGGTATAACTAATCGACTGCATTTCCATCATCACCATGCTCCCCACCATTTTTACCTTTCGACGATGTTCTATTAACTTCGCATTGTTGGGCCAATGGAGCCCCATATAGTGCAGGGTTTTCCTCATAATCCGAACTTTCGTTGAGTGTTTGAAGTTGAGGTCCCTTCGGGATACGCCCAAACAAATTGTTGTTGGACAAGTTCAAATGACTCAAAAAGGTCAACTTTGATAAGCTCTACGGAATTGTTCCAAACAAATAGTTGTTGGAAAGATCAAGTGATTCGAGAGACACCATATCTTCAATATTTAATGGGATTTGTCCTCTTAGATGATTATGAGACAAATTGAGACCAATCAAGTCAGTGAGGTTTTTCAGCTCCAAAGGGATTTCTCCAACTAGTTGATTACTTGAAATATCAAAATTGACCAAGAATCGTGTATTTTCGCTATACTCCAGCACCACTCCCTTCAAGACTTCACTTAATGCATTGAGCCCATAGTATCTTTCAATTGCTACAAGACAGACATTTTCTGTATATATATTTTCCTTTGTGCAAACAACGTCTATACTAGTTTTTACATAACTATTCTTGTAATAAAATTGCTACAAACAAATTGGATCATTTATCGATCACTACTAAATTTACTATTTATCACCCTCACGATCAAGTCACATTTAGCTTCCTTTTATTGCAAAAAAAAAAAAAAAAAATCTTGTTTTTGGCTTATACTTGAGAAAAATAACCCCACCCCATAAGACTAACTTTTTTTTTAAAAAAAAAAACATAATTTAGTGATCAAAATAAACAATTTAAAAAATTCATTTCCTCCAACTAACTTTTAGATTATCAGTAACGAACTAAGAATATTGAATACACCAATAATATCATGAAAGTGTTATATGAATGAATGCTCACCGCGAGTGGTTTTATTATGGGCCATTCCCGAAAAATTGCCAAAGCAGCGTGAGATGTTTCCAGTCAACCATTTGTTTGCAAGGTCCATTATTTGAATTTTGGACATCTGACAGAATGAGTATTGAATGTCTCCGTAGAATTTGTTGTTCCTCAGCCTCAAAATTGCTAGATTAAGTAGATTGTTTCCAATCCATTTCGTAACTTTCACTGATAACTTGTTGTCTCCAATATCCAAACCCATTAACAGGGTGCAATTCTTCAAATTTGCAGGGATTTTCCCTATAAAACTGTAGTTACTCAGTTGCAACCATCCCACCAATTAAGCTCCACCAATAGAGTTTGGAATGGGCCCGGAAAGCTTAATATATGACAATGTTGCAACCCTTAAGTGAGATAAGTTAGCCCAACATTGTGGAGGTGACCTGACAAAAGATTCTTGGAGAGACGCAGATAAAACAAGTCTCTCATTTGACATAAGGAATCGGATATCGAACAAGTTATCGCGTTATTTGATGGATATAAAACTTGGATTCTGAAAGAAAGATTTGGAATAGATCCATCAATATGGTTGTTAGATATGTCTAAATCAGTCAGATTTGTTAATGAATGGAGCCATCTCAACATCATGCCTCAAATGCTATAATTAGATAGATACAAACAGTGTAGTGATTTTGTGTTTGAAGCCACTGTAAAAATTGGCCTCTGATATCAATGGATGATGACATATAAATGGATTTTAGTTGAAAATGAGGGGTCCAATCATACAAATAAGAAAAACGTACAAGGTGTATGTAAACTTACAACTATTACCAATATTAACTATGTGAATTAAAAGGAGAAATAAATGAGTTATATTTTAAACAATTATTTACTTATTGCATGAAAGAAACACCATAATTATTGTAACATATAACATATTTTTTCAATGAATATGAAAATGAGGTAATTACATAATATTTTATCAAACAATGAAAAAAATCATAATCTTTTTAATCTTATAACCAGTACAAAAGTACATTTTTGTCAAATATATTATTATTATTATAAATAAATAAAGATGTAATATTAAATAATATTTATCTTACTTGATTATATTAGTTGTAGTCTAATAAGTAAGATATTTGATTGCAACAACATTATATAAAGTATATACAAAAAAAATAAATAAAAAAATAACGCAAAACATATAAATGTTATCTAATTCTTTTAATAAATAAATATTATTTGTGAATAGAATAAGAACAAATAAACGATAGTAATTCAATAGGAAAAATAAAAGTACGTATTTTGTCAGAAAAATATGCATACTACTATCTAGAAACAAAAGTCTTTTAAAATTACTACTTTCTTTTTTTTGCTAACGTCTAAATATATGAACTGTGTATGGAATTAGGTCTAAGATGGTCAATGATTTCCAAACAATAGGTTATATAGTTCGTTTGCCTTCCAAATAAATAACCTTGAAAAAAATCATTCAGGGCATGATAAAATTTCTTTCAGAGAAGACGGTGATTAAATACATTATAAGATCATACAATCATGATGTTTGACTATATGTTTGGCCAGAATATTTATACGTGATTGAGTAATGTAGACGTTTTGTCAAATGAATAAAGAAGAATTTTGCAACACTATTGATGTACTGGGCTCCAACGAGTATGAATGTTTCTTATGAAAACGTCAAAACCAAAATAAAAAAAAAAATCACTCTTTAATAATATAAAATAATTAAATGAAATAACTGATGCATCTATAATATTCACTAGGTCCTTATTTAGTT